TGGGTCCCAGAGGAAGTCTGGGCTCAGGGAAGCAGAGGGGGCCGGGCACTGGGGGAGATGTGTCCCCCAGCACCCCAGGCCCACTCAGTCACGCGGCTGCTTGCGGCTCTCTGTGTGAGCCCTGGGGACAGCCAGATCTGGGACCATCTGCACACAAGACAACAGGGGAACCAGTGCCAACTGTTCCAGGTAAAGGAAGCTGCCACGTACCTTCTGAAGTTGTGCAGCAGTGTTTCCTCGGGACCCCAAGTAAAGCATGCCAAAGGCTGACATGATGCTGAGGGGGGAGTAGAAGATATTCTTCCCGGTTGATCCCTGTCTGATCTGTTGGTACAGATCGACTGTGAAGTGGGTGATTGGCCCACTGAGTGAATCCATGGTGTCTTGACGCTGTCTGGAGCTCCTGGAAAAGCATCCGAGATTTTGTAATGACTTTACTGAAGGAAAGGTTAGTCTGTAATTTTCTTAAAAGACATCATGCCTTATATATGGGTTGTGGGATTCTGGTAACTAATGTTTGTCCTCTTTTTAGTTTTCAAGCCTCTTAAAGTGTACTTGTGTACATTTCATCATTACAGGTATAACGAAATTAATATTTAAAGACAACTTTTGTGAAAAAAAGAATAGACTCTTTATCTTTCCATCCTTGCTGACTGTACTAAGACTGGGTAGAGAATGCATTGTAACAGATACCGAGACAAAGATTGATGTGGTCACATGCATCCGTGTCTCACGATGCAGTTCCCTGACTTTTTTTTGAAGGATCTGTGGGTGCCAGACATGCTACCCCCCCACCCCATGTGCTCCTAATGGAGTATTTGATTCTTTCTGGAAATAAAGAAGTTTCCTAAAGAGTAAGTCAGATGAAAAAGGCGTTTTGCTATTGCCCTGGCAGAGTAGGTAAAGTACAATCAGACAAAATGAAACAGACCAATGAGACGATGCACATCATTGTTATCACTTTCAGAAGAGCTCCGTACAGTGAAGCAGTGCTGCTGGCAGCCCTTACCTGTGATCCTGGAGGAGGCAGAGGTGGGCGGGGAGCCTGTCAGCGTCTGCGCGGTGAGCGCTGAGATGGGAATATATAGCTCCCTCTTGCACCTCCCACTGCCCAAGGCAGCTGCAATTTCAAGTAAATCAACCTTTGGTTTCTTCACCAGGCTGACCACCAGCTTCCTGAGTGACCGTCACCTTCCTGCGGTGAAATCTGTATGAGTAAAGACAAGAGTATTATTCTTTTCCTGTATTTCCTTTTCAGCAGCAGAAATTGGGACCTGCAATCCTGCGCTCATATGAAATATATGTAGGTGCCTTTCTATTACCAATGAGAATATAGTTAATTCCAACTCCTTCCCATGATCCGAGCCACTACCCACAACCAGAAAGAACCCTTAAAATTCTTTCTTCTCTTACACATTGAATGTCTTTAAGGTCACTTCAAATGCAAACAATTAAAAAGCTTATATTTTGTATTTTATGCTCTGAAAGGGTTTTTTCACAGATCAAGTTCCTTGGAATTATTCTTAATAACCAGAAAATAGCTTGAATTCTCATCATAAGACATATGGACGAGGTTTCTCAGCCATAGATGGAGAAGCAGCATCATCTGCCTTCCCTTAGTGGCTGGAACTTGTCAGTGGTCCTCCCTGTCATGCCTCTTGCAGCCAAGCCCAGTGTGGCCTGATTTCTGAGGTCAGAGGGAGGTTCATATCCCCCACAGTGTTAACATGTTCTCGGTGAGAAGAACAATGGATGCCATCAGGAGCCAATTTGGTGGCAATATTCTCATTTTCACACAAAGATTAAACAGAAAAATAAATTGTTTGAGCTGCAGAATCACGACATGTCTTTGTCAGCCTGCCCTTGAGCACGCCGGCTTCAAATTCTTGGTCTGGACAACAGAGTCCGATGCCTGAGAGAAAAAGGAGGAAAGTGTTGTTTGAATGCCATGGTTACTGTCTTGTCACTGAAGCTTCAGTGTCTTCATGTGTCTGGTGTTTCGGTAGTAAAATCATATTGACTTTTACTGCGTGGGGTAATGTCTTCAACCCTTTCCGTCTAAACACCTTTTGGGGCTGGTCCCTTTGTTTTCCCCA